ACAGGCTGATATGGTTGCTGATCAGCCAAAACCCAGCCTAACAAACATTTAGACCCAGAAGCAAAGACATGCATGTGAGTCTTTGCAGGATTAAAGCTCCAAGGTTTTCCTGGGTTGTGTATAATTATGCTCAGTGTTGGGAGAGCCTCCTGTCCTGGTAATATTTATGTTTTCACTTGCCTGTGATCCCCCTGTGACATCTGTCTCTCTGTGGGGGTGGTTGACTGTGCAGAGCTCAGAGTCACAGTCAAAGACAGCTTGGGAAGATGTGCTGCCCAGTGAAGGGTCTGCTGACAGGACTCCAGGGTTTTGGAGGATGCTTTGCATCAGCAGAGTGGAGCTGCTGAAATTTTGGAGGCCACCAATGCCAAACTATCTGCCATCAGAGCAAATGGAGCTGCAACACAATGTAGAGAATCGTGGAATCATTAAGGTTGGAAAGGACCTAAAAGATCATCAAGTCCAACCTTCAGCTGAATACATACCAGAATATTTGAATCCCCAGCTCTGCTTTATCTGCAAAAGAGAACTATTAAAGATGAAAAGAGGACATTTTCCATGATCCTCATCCCTTTTGAACTGACTGAGAGGAAAAGAACGGGATGTGGAGGCAGCCAGAGAAGACCTGTTGGGTGGCAGTGGTGAAGGAGGCTCTGTGAGTCCCTAAATAATTGTGCCCCAATACCTCACTGAAGTCCAGAAAGAAATAGGAAGAGCAGGAAGATATTTATGTCCAACACATGAAGAAAAGCCTCCATGTTCACACAGCACTGAAACACTTGTTGGGGGTGAGGACAGCCCCAGGGGTGGGTGGAGAGCAGAGCCAGGCCTGTCAGAGCCCACACCCCTCTGCCAGGCCAGTGCTGGACCCTTCTTTGGAGTGTCCAGTGCTTGGAGTTGAGCTCTGGAGTGTGTTCAGCCTTTGCTAACTTGAGACAATGAGGAGAACGTGCCATTCAGGAGCTGAAAGGACAGCTTGGAATTCTTGTACCCAACGGGTTGGACTGGGCTAGAGGAAGATGTCCCTGCCCATGGCAGGAGGTGGAATGAGATGGGTTTAAAGTCCCTTCCAACCCAAACCATTCTGGGATTCTGTGACAGATGACTCTTTACCTTTCTCTGTAACTTCTGTGGGCCTCAGGCACACATCATTCCTTCTTGTCCCAGTTTACTCTTCACACTGGTTTTATGTGCCCCCTTGCAAGTCACTGGCTGGAAAAGCCTCCACAAAGAACTCTGAAGTTCACCCAGCACCTGGGATCATGATTTGCACCCATCTTCCCATAAAGATCAACTGATTTGTTCATTATATATATTTATAAATTAAGTTTTTACTTTTAAAAACGCCATAGATTAAAGTTCAATTGCAGTTTAAGGACCGATTCAGTGGGAATTGTGTGAAAGAAGATTTAATCCCTGGGTTTCCACCCAGCACACCTAGAAAATAGATCAGAAAATTGCTCAAGACAGTTGGAGTAGCTCATGGCAATCAGTACATTTTATTTAACTCTCTCCAAAAGGTCTTTTCTGATGTCAGTGCTGAAAACATAGTTTACTCTTCCAGCTGTGTTCTGATGTTTCTAGTCATCTACAGAAGGTAATGACTGCAGATTAGGGGTTTCCACACTGTTTCAGTTGTGCAGAAGAGCAAAACCCTTCAAAATCAGCCTTCTGATTATTTTTGCTAGGAAAGATTTTATCTTGGTCATTAGCCAGAGTGGGCTCTGTGTGTCACATGGTGTGATGCATTTTTGCCAGTTCTGTTCTTTCCTTATCCTGTTTTTGGTATCACATCTCCTGCATTACTAAATTTCTTTGTCCTCCTGAACTAGAAATGCTGTGCCCACCTATGAAGTATTTTGGGATGCTACAGTCACCATCCCCTACAGCTTAATGTAAATATGAGGGGGTTTCAGTATTGTTTTGAAACCCAAGTCTTATCTCATTCTAATGCTAAGATCCTTACATTTTTCTACTAAATGTTCAGAAGGAAATTAAGGCACAGGTCTAAGTTAGCTGCCAGATGCACTGGAAAATTAAACAAGAAGGAAAATAAAAGAAGTTCGTATCAGGTCATTTTCCCAAATTGTTCATCAATCCAAAAATGATGAGGCAATGCCTGTTAACCCACCATTATTTTGAGGTTAGACTGAATAAGGAGCAGTACTTCCTTGGTCAGCCTGTTCCAGAGCATCAGGAGAAGCTCAAGGAAAGAAAGCATTGCCTGCAAGGAGCAGCTGCCTGACCACACCTTGGTGAAGCTGTGTTTCCCTCTGAGATCCTCCAGGCATTGCAGCTGAAATCTGAAGTACAGGAGTAGTATTGACTATTTAAAAGTGGCAGGAGCATCCTCATGTCCCCCTGTTTGGTTATAGCCCCCCTATTACAGTGTTTTGGTGCCTAGAGCCCTGTCACAGAAGAGGCTCAACACGAACCAAGCTCCCCCCATGCTGACATTTCTGGGAGCCAGGCAAGGGTAATGCAGCTGAAAAAAGTGAATCATTTATGGCAAACAGGAACAGTTTGATGCAGGTGTGACAAGCCCATGTCACTTTATCAATAATGCACAAGTGCCAAGGTACTTCCTACTTGGATCAATTCTTCCAGACACTTGCTTTGTTTACCTTGTAATCTCCTAAATTTTCAAAAGCTGCTAAACTTTACCCCCATAAAAGACAAACTTATAAAATAATTTATGTAATATAATTTATGATCAAGCTTGACATTGGATTCTGATTCTTCTTGTACTAACTAGTTTTATATTCTCTGTGTTGCATTTTTCTCCCCTCTAAGAAGCAAAAATGCTGCTCGGTCTTTACAGTATCAAGTGTGTCAGATTAAAGTGATCTCCCAGTTGTTTTTATTCTAGATCTTAAAATTAACTTGTGCTGGAACAGAAATCATCCATTCAAAGAAAAAGAAATAACCAGATGAAAATTTCAACTCAAAAATACTTTTTTTGACAACGTCCCATGTAGTGGTTCATGAAACAGAAACCTGGTGTACAGCACTGCTTCCTCTGAGGGGAAAAACTGGGGCTTCTCATTGTACCTCTCCTGCTTAGGAGGGCATTTTTCATAGTGTTGGGCTTAAAATAGTGAGGATATTGTTGAGTATAAACTGGAGGAGGCACTGGAAAGGTGCCCTGGCTGGTCCTGGTGGATGCACTCTGGAGTGGGACCCACCTCCTCTGGTCTCCCCTGGCAGCCACAGGGGCTCTGAGAGCACAGCCCCAAAAACACCTAAAGCCTGGGATTTCTCTGCCACATTCATATTTTCATAAAAAGCCACGAGTTCTAGAAAGCTTCATCTGCAAATTCCACAGTCACAAGAATTCAACATTTTATTAATTTTTTTATTTTTTTTTTAATGAAGAGAAACAAGGAATCCTTCGAGGAAGTTTGATATTTGACTACCAGTTCCTTAATAAATACAGTGCTTAGCAGGACCCATGGGAATATTGCCTATGCTAATGAAAGGGCATGAAGTTGACTATTAACAGCTTGTGATAATGTCATCTTGTTTTCCATTTTACTTCCTTGACATAAGGAAGTGAACATTTTTCATTAGAAGTGACAATCTAGATCATATACGTGAAAGTGATGCAGCCAAGAATGAACTGCTTGTAAGGTTTCTCTCCCAAGTGATTATTTTTTTGTGAAATCCAATAAACAGCAGAAATGGGCTTGTTTCATGTCTAATGAACTATTGCCAGCAGCTGAGGTCTGCCAGAACTGGAGAAGGGAAGTGGATCTTTCCATCTGCACTCTCCTAATTAAAAGCCCAGTTCTGATCCTGTTGATGCAAGGGTACATTCTGTCATTGGAGAAATAAGAGCAGGGGTAAGTTCTTAGTTTGAGAGATCCCAACATTTTGAAAGCACTGTTTGATACATGTGGGTCACCTCTGCAAACCTCCTTAGGTGTTGAAGAGACCTCTCTCAGGAGAACTGGTTCCAAAAGCCTCACAGATCCCACCCGTGGGAAACCCACACACCAGAATGCAAGAAAACTTCAAGAAGATAAATCAGATCTTAGATTTCAAGTGAGAAGCCCCCCCCCAAACAGAAGCCTGTCAATAGACCCTCATTGCACAAAATAGTGTTGGTTTGACCTCTGGTGTGGCTCCACTTCACCTTCCTTTGGTCGTGGTACTCTCAACAGGTCAGGATTTTTTTACATCCTGTGAGAAAATTTGAAATTAAACCCAAAACTTATTTCGTTGAGTCAGTGTTGAAAGCTTTGTGACACAATGTGAAAAAAGTGTCCCAGTTCAATTAAAATGCTTTCAGAACAAGATGTCCAGCAGAGATCGTTTTACTGTAAAAAACCCTTTTAGTGTAGAATTAAATTTATAAATAAAATCGGACTTCTGAGATGATTTCAGGAAGCATTTGGATGATCCTCTGGGTGTGACTCTTGGGGATGGACCTGTGCAGGGCCAAGGGTTGGACTTGATAATCCTTGTGGGTCCCTTCCAACTCAGCGTATTCTGGGATTCTGTGATTTTTTTAAAAAGTCAAATATGGTCGTTTTAGTGATTTCACCCTCCAATTCCACCTATTTTGTTTTCCTTCCTTCTTTTTTTGAGCTAAATCCTTTGCCACCCCACCCTTTTTCTCTAAAATTTTAGTTTGACTGCTTCTAGTACCATCTGGATGTACACAGATGAAGTTGCCTCAACAATGCTTTGTCTCTGACTCCCTCATGGAGAGTATCATTTTAGAGAGCGAACATCCACCAAAATCAATACTTAGAAGAGCAGAGACCTGCTTAGGCCTGCAGATTTATACCACTTCTAATAATAACTTCTGATGTTTGCCCCGCAGGAACTTGCCTGGTTTTCTAACTCATGTCCCTGTGTGGTATCATGTATTTATGGCAGTTTTTCCCTTTCAGGTGCCACATATTTATGGCAGTTTTTCCATTTCAGCTGTCGGGTGTTTATGGCAGTTTTCACCTTTCAGGTGTCCCGTATTTATGTCCCTTTTTGCGTTGCAGGGAGCAGAGAGGCCGCGTTCACCTACGCCATCATCGCGGCCGGGGTGGCACATGCCATCACTGCTGCCTGCACGCAGGGCAACCTGAGCGACTGTGGCTGTGACAAGGAGAAGCAGGGACAGTACCACAAAGAGGAAGGCTGGAAATGGGGAGGCTGCTCCGCTGACATCCGATACGGGATCGGGTTCGCCAAGGTCTTTGTGGACGCCCGGGAGATCAAACAAAACGCCAGGACGCTCATGAACCTGCACAACAACGAGGCCGGGAGGAAGGTGAGTGACCTCTGCTCTCCATCCCGGGGTTGGAGAGGGTGTCCATCACCTCCAGTGCAGGAGAACCCAGTGCTTTCATGCTGACATCATTTACAGTAGGCAAGTAGGCACCTCTGCAAGTTAGACAGGCTTGTTGGACCATCTGTCCATCAAATATTTGTCTAAATGTTGCTCTTTACAGCTGTAAAAGGAAGAAAGCAAACAAACATTTTGTCTGGGAAGTCAAATGGTACTTATGATAAAAAGCTGCTACTGTGTGGGAGAGCAGGATTCCCGTCAGGTTCAGACATGAACGTCTCCCTCAGTTGGAAAGGGATCGTTTGCAGCCCCACTGTTCCAGCCCTGCTCTTTGTGTAAGTGCTGGCCCTGCAAGGAGGGGAATGCTGCAGCAGAGGACCCCAGGCTGGCTCACTGCTGCACCGTGGCATGGAGCTGGGCTTAGCACAGCAAGATTCCCACCCCCTCCCCGTTCTTTGGGACTGAGGAGCTGAAAGGAGCCGCTGCAGAAGCGGTGCTGGGGAAGGCAGGAATGCAGCAGCTTCCATGCATGGGTTCCCTGGGGATCCTGGGCACCAAAGGCCCTGGATTCACTGCCTTGGCCGTGCTCCTGATTGTCAGTGGCAGCTGTTGCAGGTGCCAGACCCAGTGTGATCTGTGCTCCCCAGATCCCTGCGGGTCAGGCATTCCCAGCAAACCTCAGGGCAGCCCCAGTGGTGGTGTGGCTCCAGCTGGGAATAGCCAGGGGTGTCTGTGTGCTCCCCATACAGGTACATCCAGCACTGCTCTCCCTATGGGAGTGACCATTTTGCTGATCACATCTTATGGGAGGAATGTCAATCCTCTGCTTCCTTAGCTCTCTATTTTACCTTCTCCCATTTGCCCTCCTGTGCAATACTCCTGATTTCAGCATTATGTTAGTGTGACTTAGAAGCAAATGGGAGAAGGAAGTTAGGAGCAGCAGTTAATTTGTGGATACTATTTTTGTTGTGGTAATTACCTGTAGGCTCTGAGACATCTCCACTTATGCTGGAGCCAAGCAGATTGTATTGAAGAAAAGCCATTTCCACCCCAAATAAAAACCCAGCCCTTCTTTAATTTAATGCTACTGTGGTAGTTTTATAGGTGAGGTTGTGGGGTTTACCCTGTGTAGTGTCCCAAATGCCTGTGTCTGGCTCTCTGGTGCAAAAACTTGTACTTCTACAGTAGCAAAACTGAATTCTGATAATAACTCAAGGATTAACCATTAATATTTGCAAATGAATGATCTGAGATCTTTATTACTTAGCTTCTGGTAGCTGAAAAGCTTGGTAAAGCACCAACGCCCACAGCCTGCTCTGCCTTACAAGCATAAATCCAATGAAGTAAAAAACAGCAGAGGAGTTTCAGCTTTGTGGGAAAGCTACTTCCTTGAAAGTGTTTGATAGGTGCTGGCAGTAAAAGATTCCCAAGAAATGACACACCAGCCCACACCAGACTGCAAACATAGATGGAACTGCCTACTGGCTATAAATTTTTTCCCAATACAGACCTCAAAGATACAGACAAATAGAAAAGCTGCATTTTTTTATCTTCATTCTCACCCAGGTGTGGACCTTGGGTAGAGGAGGGCTATTGGTCCTGGAGCTGGGCTGTGGGAAGGCAAAGCATCCCCTTGAGGACATGAGCTCCTTGTGTTTCTCACCTTTCTGTGCACAGTTTGCTGTCCTGAAAGCTTGTGCCTGGAAGATCCAGCTCTTCTCATTGTTCCCTGGGAGAACAGTGGTGTGTGCTATCTCTGGCCATCTGCCATTTCTCCACCAGGCTCAGGAACTGTTCTGATCTCGAGATATTTCTGCACTTCTTCCTGTGCCCCTCACAGGGCAAAATGACTGATCTTTGTTCGAACAAATCTCTGAAACCTCCAGGGGAAAGAAAGAGTAACAGGACTCAGAAGAGGATTGTTACTCTGCTGTCCTGTAGAGAATGAATAAATGATGTTTTTGCTAGAGAGGTTCCTTTCAGGCTTTGCTCTTGTGTGAAAGATCACAGTATTTAAAGACAATTGGCAGAGGGGGCATTATGGGTATTTGGCAAGCCAGGTCTCTCACAACTCAACTCTTTCACAACAAAGACAGTCTTGTTGAGAGGTGGTACTCTCACTGTTGGAGCAATAGGGATCTTATCAGCCTCCACACAATCTATTTGTGCTGGCTTTCCTCTGGGCTACAAATTCTTATCTAGTTTTGCTTGCCCATAGCTAAGTTTTTGATGATATTTTTGCACTTATGAGACAGACTGGCACCTACTAGTCTTCCAAAAATAAACCAGATGTTCAATTCTTATTGATTTGTTACCTCCACCTGTAGACACCACTACACCATTCAAAAGCCAGTCCCCTCTTCTTCTTTGGTCTTGATATGTGAAGCTGTGCTGGGTGTTGGGCCCACTCACCCCTGAAAACGTCCTTCTTCAGGACAACGACCAGCTGCAGGGAATTCAGGATGCACTCTAACAAAGCACAGGCCTCTCATTATCTAGTTGAGATGAGAGTCTTCTTAAGCATCACTGGTGAATTCATCTGTTCCATGTTGGTGAGTGAGAGGTGGCAGACTTTGTGCTGCAGCAGGCAGGTCTGCTGGGCTTGCTGGGGAAACTGGGCATAGGTAGGACTGCACAGTGTAAACCAACAGAGAACCTCCAGGAAAAGCCTGATCCAGGATTTTTGGAGATCTCAGCTCAGGACTTTCCACCTTCTCACAGTTTGTTTTAGGCAGATGCCTCTCTGCTTCCTGCAGTGCCATCAACAGTCTCAGAACATATGGAATACATGACTGTGTCAGAGCAGAAGAACAGTTATCCAGGGCAGTGGTCATGGCACCAAGGCTGCCAGAGCTCAAGGAGTGTTTGGACAACGCTCTCAGGGACAGAGTGGGATTTTGGGGTGTCTGTGCAGGGCCAGGAGTTGGATTGGGTGACCCCTGTGGATCCCTTCCAACTCAGCATATTCTGTGAATCTACAACCTGTCAGCTCGTTCCAGAAATGAGACAATTGTCAAATGTGGAGGATTATAAAAGTCACAGGTGGAAAACATCCATGTTCCTTTGCTTAACAGCTTTGGTAGTGCAATGCCTGGAAAACAGTGGTGTGCATGCCCAGGATGCACGAGGAGCACTCCCTGAGCCCAGCGTGTGGGACACGTCCCCGTTTCCAGCTGCTCCCTCACCACAGACCAAAGCCAGGGATGCCAGTGGGTCCTGCAGCCAGAAGCAGTTTTCCTCTCTGTTGAAGGACAGGGCTCTACTCCCTGTTTCTCTCTCTGCCCTGGTGGCAAAGCACCAGGACTCTCTTTTGTAGCTCGACTGCAGAGTTCCCAGGCGGGGTGGAAGGGAGGGGGCAGAGTTCAGAGCAGGGGTCGCATCCACCCTATGAAACTGCCCCCGAGCAGCCTGAGAAGCCTCACCTCATTTGTCAAACCTATTGGAGAGCAGCTATTTCTGACCTTCAGAAACAGAGTTTAGGGTGTCTTTCCTCTTTGAATTAGTATTTCCTGAAATGCTGATTCACTGCAGGAAGAAGCAAGAGTACAGGGAGAACAGGAGGAGAATTCATAACAGCTGGGTCAGAAAAGAGAGATAAAGCTTCAATTAATTTAAAGGCATAATCCTGGTTTGCCCTGCAAACTTCCATGTGAGGGGTTATAATTGCAAGACTGAATTGTCTGTTAGCAAATTTGTCTTCTCAAGTACAAAGTTAATTAAATTACTGTAAGTAACACAATAACGTATGTCTGAGAGATATTTATGCTCCAGGAAATAAAAATGTTATTCTCCAAGTTATCCTGCTAAAAAATAGCAAAGTAGATATTGAAAGGTTCTACATATTTTGGCTGTACATTTTCATTTTGACAGCATGGCAAGGTACATGACCACACTGCTCTCTCCTCTCTTTTCCTGTGACATTGAAATTCCACGAATGGCATCTTGCATCAGCGTTACATCATATTAAGTATAATGCAATATTATGAGTCATTGTTATAAATCATGGGCACAGGCTGCATTAGAAGGCTTTTGCAATTCAAGAGCACATCAAGGTGGATTTTTATTCAGTGTTCCTCTTTGGAGGCAGATGTAGGTGCACTAACTTTGCAATCTCTCTTCATCCTCTGAATCAGGAGTGTTTCAGTTTTCCCCTTCAGCTCTAAGGCTCCCAGGGGATGTGCAGGACGTGCCCAACAGAGTTGCTGCAAATACCAAACAAAGCTCTGAGAACCCAGGAGGTGTTTCTGAAATGGATCACGCAGTGATCATAATAGACTGGAGTGTTTAGTATTTTAACCTTTAGGGAAAACTGTAATAACGCTGAAGTGGCACTTGGCTTTTGGAAGGCACCGAGGTCAGGAGTTCTCCCAAGCTATCCTGTAAAGCCCACACTTATGACACTCTGCACTTGCTGCATCTCTGACCTCAGGAGGACATTGCTGCCATGAAACTTCCCTGAATATCTTCCTCTTCTTGCATAGTGTGCAGTCACCACTGCAAGAATTAACTATCCCTAGAGCTGACAGCTATTTCTGCCTCATTCCAGACCTTTCTCTTTAACCAGCCTGTTAGCCTGGCTGCCAGAAGCAGCACAGAACACAAGGTCTTGCAGATGAACCATTTGAAAGGTTGGGAGCATCATGTTAGAAAAGAGACAAGGTTAGTAAGAGGCTGCTAAACAATTTAACATTTATAATTCTGAATACAGGCCTGAAATTCTGGAGATTTAATAGTTCTGCCTGAACTAAATCCTAAAGCTCATAAAAACACAGAACTGTTCACAGAATCACACAGAATCCCAGGATATGCTGAGTTGGAAGGGACCCACAAGGATCATCCAGTCCAACCCCTGGTCCTGCACAGGCCCATCCCCAGGAGTCACCCCCTGTGCCCCAGAGGATCAGCCAAACCCTCCTGGAGCTCTGGCAGCCTTGGGGCTGTGCCCACTGCCCTGGGGAGCCTGGGCAGTGCCCAACCAGCCT